GTCCTTGGATCGTCTAAGATAGGCCATGTGGTGTCAGAAAGAGCATCAGGTCAAAAGCCCTGAGTTCTAATCCTGGCTCTACCATATCCAGCCACTGGATATCAGCCTCCTCATCTGTAAATGGGCCAGCAATGGCAGCCTTGCCTACTACCAGATCCTAGGAGATGAGAGGCAGGAAGTGCTTTGGAAGACCCCACAGACGCATCCAAGTCCCTCTGTAGGCTTCTCTAGAATCTCCTGCCCTCCCTGGGGCCAAGGGCCAGCTTTCTATGCTGGAAGGACTGTGAGGTGGGTGAGCCAGGACCACCCACCATTGACAGACAAAGGGAAATCAAGGCAGGGAGAGGCGGGGGAGAGCAGAGGGGAACCCAGGTATCCCAACGATGCCCCTTCACCTCAAACTGTGACACCTGCTCACTTGTGCTGTGTCTGACATCATCTGAGATGCTGATCAGGGCAAAGTTCATTTAGTGCTCACGACGCCCTTTGAGGCAACACCTGCAGTACTATGGTGAGCCCCTGTCCCCGGGGAAGGGGGCTGGTGCTCTGAAAGGTGAAGCAACTTTCCCAAGGCTACACAGCCAGGAACGGGCTAAGGTAGGACTGGACTCAGGTAATCCAACTTGACTGCCCCCATTTCTAACAGCTGGACGATGCGGGAGGCCTAGCTGCCCAGTGGGCTCCCAAAGGCTCCCAGGTGCTTTGGACATTGACCTGGGCCTGCCCAGTCTTGCCTCCTGGGGCTGCCAACCAGGGCCCCCAGCAGCCTGCCTCGTGTTTCTTCATCACTAGGCAAAGGGGCTGCCCAGGCATGGCCAGGTCCACAGCTGCTGGAGAGCATGCAAAGCACCCAGGCAGCAGGGTTGTTCCCATGGAGACAGAAAGGACTCCAACTCACCCTGAAGTACCTGCAGGGAGCCAGATGCCCGACAGCACCTGGAGGCAGAAACCCGAGCCTGGATTATCTCCACTTCCCTCTGTCCCACCAGCCCATCCTCAGGCCTTCTCCTCAGGACCCGCAGCAAGACGTGAGTTCCAGAAATAAGCCGTCCCAGCCCACTTCCCACTCAGCCACCCCCAGAGGGGCCTCTCTGGCTGAAAACAACGCCCGGGGCCAGCAGGCTTGGCACAGCTGTGGCTGTCAGCCTGCCGAGCACTGTCCGGCCTGAGGAATGTGCAGATCCACATGTGCTGAAGCGTCCCACTGGGGCACAGTGACAGGAAACTGAGCAAAACAGCTCGTTGGCACCGATACGCCCCTCCCACCTCACAGATCCTGACTTCTGTGGGCTGCTGGCTGCCCTGGTAGTGCAGGCGGCAAGACCCGGCCCTTTAAGCGAGCCAGGCAGTGTTGCTCTGGGCAAATCACTCCCCCTCTCTGGGCCTGTTTCTGCTCCTCTTGGTGGATGAAGGAGGTTGTCCTGCCAAGCTCAGAACCACAGTGATTTTGTGACATGCTCTCCTTTCTGGGAGGACAGTCCATTCTCCTCATGCCCTCACTCATGTGGGATGGGGCATGACTCCAAGACACATCGGGCTATCCCAGTAGCAGCCCTTGGCTGTAGAAAGCCACCCCACCCAGTGCTGGGATGAAGGTAACACTTCAGACTTGAAAGGGTGACCAGGAACCTGGGAAAGAGTCGCAGGGCAGCAGCCCAGGGCTGAAGCTTCAAAGCTAAAGTGATTTAACTAAAAATATTCATTATCACTTGTCCAGGCCACAGCCCCCCTGGCTTCCAGTTTTGAAGGAGAGGTCAGCAGTGGGTGTAGGACCCTGCTCCTGGGTTGACCAATGAGACACACCAATGAGTCTGCTGTTTCGGGTCAAGATCCCAAGACCCCAAGAGAAGTCAACATCCATCTGAGGCTCCCTCAGACCCTGCAAGCCATTTCTGGCCTCACTGCCCGCCCCCCCCCCCGCACCCCACTTTAGAGATGTGGGAATGAGGCTCAGAGAGGTTGACCTGCTTGCCAAGTTTGCACAGCCAAGAGGTGTCTGAACGAAACTGAGCATTCGGGGTTGGACTTCCCCTCCTCGCCGCCGCCTGCTCTGCTCTCCCAGGCACTACCCAGCGCGCTCGTGGTGGCCAGGAGCGGGTCGGGTCCCCGCCGCGCGCAAGCCTTGGTGACAGGCCAGCCCACCCCTAGGGGAGGCAGAGGGAAGCCCCGGGGAGGCCCCCGGCCCGCCTGTGACGCGCTGCCCCGGCTTTAGGGCTTTTTCTTGCGGGCTGAAGCTGCCGGGGTTCAAAGGAAAGGCCGGGGAATTTCGCTGCCAGCAAGGAACTGTTGGATTTAAACTAAAAATACCCGCCCGCCTGCAGCTGTCACTCCGGGGCCCCCGCCCCCGTGCCAGGCGCGCCTTCCTAGGTCCCCCAGACTTTCGGAGCCCCTGATCCCGGGGCTATGTCAGAGCGGGGCTGGGGCTGAGCACCCAACCCGCCCGGCCCCGGCCCCTGCCCCAGCCCCGGCCTGGCCTCCCTGCCCCACACCACTTACCCGGCCCGGAGCGTGGAGGAGCGAGGCGCCGCGGGCTGCTGGGGCCGAGCCTCCTTCTCGCCTCCCCGAGTCCTGGGCGGCTCCGGGGCGGGGCGGGGCCGGGGCGGGCCCGGACACCCGCGAGTACCCCCGCCCACGCCGGGACCAGCCCGGTGGCCCGGCGGGAGAGGCCGCGCCCCTCTTCGCGCGCGCTCGGCGGAGGCCTCGGGTGCGCAGCCCCAGCCCGGCGGACACCCTGCGTGGCCCCGGGGACAAGGACCGAAGAAGAGCCTCACCGCTCTCTGTCGCAGACCGGGGCGGGGGCTAAGGAGGGGTCCTGTCCACTCTGACCTGGAAAGCAGCCGGAGCCCTGGCCCCTGTCCGTCTCCCTCCCACCCCACCCACCCCCTTCTCATCCTATGGGATGCGCAGAGCTGCCTTTCCCCCGGGAAAGTTGGATCTAGGCGCCCAGACTCGGAAAAGGGATTAGGTCACCGGCAGGTCTTACCCTCACAGAGCAGAGGTGGGGGCCTAGGCAGGGCACATCGCCCGGAGGCGCGAAATCCAAGAAGAACACGACACCCATCAGCCAGCCTCACGCGGGCAGAAAGGGCGGGGGGGGTACCCTGTCCATCCTCTCCCACCCCACAGTCCGGGAGTCACAAGGAACATGAATCCCCAAGTATGCCGTGAACCTCCAACAAACCCAGGGCCTCAGAATGAGCCTCCTCTCTCCCTCCCCACCCAGTAGAAACATCCTCCCATCCATCCACCAACCCCTGCTCCTGCCACGCCAACCCTTTAACCTGGTCGCAGAATGTCTAATGTCTAATCTGCCTCTGTGCCTGTGCACATGAAGGCCTGGGGTTTGCTCCGCAGCCTCCTGCCACGCTTCCACTGCCGGATTGCTGGAAGCCTGCGCACCTTGGCGCTCTCTCCCTCTCCTCCCAGGTCAGCAGTCACTGGCCTTCCCTTGCATCCAGCCGGGCTTTGAACAATCCTGGCCCCCAGCCCTTATCTTTTTCCAAGTAATTACACAGTTGCATGATAGGCTCCACTTTCTCTGGATCACATGAGCGCCACTAATGAGGGATACAAGTTGTAAAACTGGGTATAATGCAGACTCCACTCATTACAATTTAGGTGCGGCTAGCGATTTTACAGATGAGGAGTTAGTAACTGGCCCAAATCCGATGCTTCCGGGAGGGTGTTTTCCTTTTTTTGTTTCTTAGCAGAGATGGCAGATGTTTGTAGAACAGATCTGTGTAAAAGTCAGCGTCCTAAGAGATTGAATTGTAAAACAGAACAAGATAATGTGGGGTGCGTGTGTGTGTGTGTGTGTGTGCGTGCGTCTTTTCCTAATTGAGAGGGAAGTAGAAGAATTAGCCAAAACCCAGGACTCACTCTGAGATAGACCCACACCTCTTAGTTAGATCCCATTTATTAAGCTGTAATTAAGTGTTGAAGATATACACAAGGCCCCTCCCATCCCTGTGACTGACTGCTTCCAAGTATCATATTATATGCATTATTATTTCTGTGACTTCATTAGAGGTGCTGCCGCGGGCCTTGAGGTTACCACCAACTGCAGGGACAGGCGGTGAGTAACAACGATTATAACGCCTGCATCTGGATCATGCTTTTTGCTTTTCAGAATGCTTTCAAACGTGTCTCCTCATAAATCTCTGCAGACATCCTCCAGGTAGTTAGGAAAAGTTTAATGAGTTTCGCCTGACAAGGGAAACCAAGGCACAAAGAGGTCAGTTGATTTGCACAAAGAGAGAGATGGGTCCCCCCGCTGCTCCAAGGGTGGAGCAGGCCACCGTACTCAATGTCCTGCAGGAAGAGATGGTTGGGTGCAGTTGGGAGCTCAGGCTCTTGCGCCAAAGTGCCCAGCTTGCAAGGTTCAGCTGATTACTCATACTAGGTTTCCTTTTCTGTTAAATAGATCTAATAATAGGAGCCTATCTTGTATGGTTTGTGCCTGCTGTTTGAGCACCCAACGCAGGCGAGCTGCCCTGTTATGGTTCTGGGAATAGTATGATTGCTACAGTTTCTGGCATACCGCGTTTCAGTCTTTTTTTTTATTACATTTTAGGTTTTGGGGTACATTTGAAGAACATGCAAGATTGTTGCATAGGTACACATGTGGCAGTGTGATTTGCTGCCTTCCTCCCCATCACCTACATCTGGCATCTCTCCCCTTGCTATCTCTCCCTAGCTCCCCACCCCCCACCGTCCCTCCCCTGTTTCTCCCCAACTGACCCCAGTGTGTAGTGCTCCCCTCCCTGTGTCCACGTGTTCTCATTGTTCAACACCCGCCTATGAGTGAGAACATGCGGTGTTTGATCTTCTGCTCTTCTGTCAGTTTGCTGAGAATGATGGTTTCCAGGTTCATCCACGTCCCTACAAAGGACCCAAACTCATCGTTTTTGATGGCTGCATAATATTCCATGGCGTATATATGCCACATTTTCCCTGTCCAGTCTATCATCGATGGGCATTTGGGCTGGTTCCAGGTCGTGTTTCAGTCTTTCATCAAACGTTCCTGAGCATCTACTATAGCCAGTCTCTGGGAATATGAAGAAGAATGAGGCATAGACTACCACCTCCAAGGAGGTCAGGGTGCAATAATTCTGTGTCAGGGGACTGTGGCGCACAGAGATGACCGTCCCTTCTGTTGCTGGTCCAGTGCAGAGCACCAGTTCAGAGCAATGGAGATATTCACTTTTTAGGACCAGCTTTGCTACTTGTGTATCTGAGTGAATGGTCACAAGCCATGTGACCTTTTACAACATTGGTTTTCTCATCTGCTAGATGGGAATAGCAATAATTTTTCATAGGTAAAAACAGACGTGATAAATGTATTTTACGAAGTGCAAAATACTGTGCAGATAGTTTTATTATTATTGTGATTGCTATTCTCTTGGGCTTTACAGGGCTTGCTGCTTTTCAGAATACTCTCCCATTCCATTGCTTTTCTTAGAGTCTCGCTCTGTCACCCAGGCTGCAGTGCTGTGGCACAATCTTACTTACTTACTGCAACCTCCACTTCCCAGAAAAAGCAATTCTTATGCCTCAGCCACCCGAATAGCTGGGACTACAGGCACGCACCACCACACCCAGCTAATTTTCGGTATATTTATTAAAGACAAGGTTTCACCACGTTAGTCAGGCTGGTCTCAAACTCCTGACCTCAAGAGATTCACCCGCTCAGCCTCCTAGAGTGCTGGAATTACAGGTGTGAGCCACCATGCCCGGCCACCCATTACTTTTCTTAAGCCTGATATAAACATCACGTCAAAAAGAGAACCCTATTTTTTATTTGATGTCAGTCTTTTTCCTCTCCAAAGTAGTCCATATGGAAGGAAAACAAAAGTTGAATACGCAATGCGAAGGGATGGGGGAGTTTGCAACTAGGAAGGGCACAATACTCTCATCTTCAGCATTACCTGCAGCTACAGAAGGGAGCAGACATGAAAACCTATCTGGAAAAAAAAATCTGGCAAGGGATTGGGGGAAAAGCCCCTTTGTCGTCTCTGGAATTCAACACAGGAAACCCCGCCCTGAGATCTTCCTTTCAGAAACAGCCCAGAGAGGGAACCACAAGAAGGGCACTGAAATTATGCTGTTAGGAAGTTCTGACTCACTTGGCAGTGGGGGCTGTTTGTGTAACGTACAATATGTCTTCCAAAGAGCGAAGTTTTTACCTCTCTTTCCCTATGTCTCTTCCCTGCAGCCAGCATCTCCACCACCACTCCCGGGGAAGCAGGAATCAATTTAATAAGCCTGGGGAAATTATCTGGGTCTGTTTCACATTTGCTGTTGGTTAGCCAGCTTCAACAGCAATCTGCACGATCCTCATTTTGTAAGCAAGATTTTTTTCAGTTGTTTGTGTTTATGTTCAGTCTCCACAGATAGGGTACAACAAAAGCTGCAATGGCTCTTTGGGCTAACAAAGCACCTCATGGGTAAACTGAGGCAAGAGAGTAGGGAGGACGGGGATTGCCCAGGGTCCCAGGATAGGAACTGCTGTTCAGAACATTTGCATTCTCATCTCTCCATCCCTAGCCTGGCTTCCCACTTAGTGGTGAAGTAAGTGCTTTCAGTTTAACATGGATGAAAAGCTCACATTATAGGTGCCCGCTTCGGGGGTGCCTCGTCAGAGAAGTCCTGGTCTGAGCATGGAGAGCTGGTTCTCATCCCAGTTCTGCTCTGAACTGTCCCTCCGTCTTTGTTTTTTGTTTGTCAGTTCTCCAAGTGTCGGTCTGTCCTTTCCCACTCGGGTGCTACAGGTGCTTCTGGGGTGAGTGCATCCCGCACCCTGGTATGTTAACTTCTCTGGGTAGGTTGCCTCCCCCATGGGCAGCTGTCACTCATCAACTGAGCAGAGCCACCTCTCTGGGTACTCCAGCCCGAGCGACAAAGTGAGACTCCATCTCAAAAAAAACGGAAAAACAAAAACAGAAAACATACAAAATCCTTCTGGAAGAGGCCTGTCGTGTTTCTCTACCATTGGGAAGTCCCCCCCGTCTACTCTTTCTGCTGCTGCTGGGACCACCTTAAGTGTATGTGGGTTTTTTTTTTTTTAATTAAATGTTTTCTTTTGAGACCACTGTAAATTCACATGCAGTTGTAAGAAATCATACAGAGGTCCCCTGTATGCTTTACCCAGTTTCCCCCAGTGGCAGCATCTTACAAAACAGTGGCACAGTATCACAGCTAGCATACTGACAGACACCATCACCACACAAGATACTTCCCTAACAAGGATCCCGCATGCTCTCCTCCCTCCTTCCCCATCCCCTCCTTCAGCTCTGGCAGCCACTCCTCTGTTCTCCTGTCTATAATTTGGTCATTTCAAGAATGTGATAATCATGGAATTGCATAGTGGGACTGCCCCATCCACTCAGTGTAGTTCTCTGGAGCATCACCCAGGATGGCTCCTGTATCGAGTCTGTGCCTTCTCATTGCTGAGCAGCAATCCACGGTGTCATGCATCAGGGGCTGGGTCACCATTCCCTGGTTGAAGTGCATCTGGGTTGTTCCCAGTTTTTGTCTATTATCAATACATCTGCTATAAACCTTTTGTACACACGTCTGTGTCAACATAAATCTTCACATCTTAAGTTTCAGCTGTTGGATATAATACCCACTTATTAACTCACACCACTGGATTTTTCCTACTTTTTCCTAATGATGAACACATCTAGTGATGAGGATGTTTAAGTGTCCAACAGTTGCCTAGGACTGGGTCTTGAGTTGCGTAAATCTAACAAAAGCCAGTCACATGGTTCCTGCCATCAAGGAATGTACAGTCTGTCAGGGAAGCGACATTAAGATACACAAATCATTCACATAACTAAGTGACGCTGCATATCATCAAATGTGAGGCTGCATAATACAAAAGTGACTTGTAGAGGGATCCAGAGACGGGAGAGAGACATGGAGGCATGAGTGTCTGGGGTTGTCCTCTGGAGAAAATGGATTGTGTGAGATATCTCAACTGATGGAAATGATATTTTGCATTTATTAAGGACTTACTACCATCGGCCACACACCGTTCTAAGCCTTCACTTAATTTCATCCTCATCACCACCCTTCAGGATTGCTCCTATTATCATCCTGTTTTCCAAATGAGGGAAAAAAGGTGAAAACTTGGCCACCATCACCCAGTTATGACGTGACTCACCTAGGGTACACACTCAGGAAGTCTCACCCCAGCACCCACACACTTCATCGCTGTGGATTCTGTCTCATAGCATTAGTGGTCATGATTAAATTCCAATCTGTTTTTTTAGGTTATATTTTCCACACACAGCATATACTGATTAGCTATGCTGATCCTTCTGCGACAAGGTTATTGATAAATTCAAATAGCAAACAAACCGGCACCAGTGTTAGTAATGTAACAGGTGAGAAGTCGTGTGTGTGTGTGTGTGTGTGTGTGTGTGTGTGTGTGTGTGTGTAAAAAGCAAGCCTGAAGCCTCCAGTTATGTAGATTATCTGCATAGGCAGCAAAACACGCACACAAACATGCACCACACACATCAAAGTTCCCAGCGCGGTTTGATAAGGCACACAGAGGCAGCTGAGCCCATTTCAGATAATGAATGTGGTTTTGTATTCTCTGAATTGTGACATACCAGGAAAGTCACTTCCACGTTCAGCTGCCTCCTCGGTTGCTAAACACACAAGATATGGGCTTGCTCTTCACTCATAGCACTGATGGCTGCTCACTCTTGAGCTGTATCATTTGGTTAAAACAACAGCATACTAAGAACCTGGCATGTTTGCTTGTTTTTGTTTTGAAATATAAATGCAGCCTTGATAATGTCGGTGTTTCCAACGATGGGGTGGGTGGCAGAGTGAAAACCTCCCTGGATCAGCATCTTCTGACTTGCTGTCTCTCTGGGCTGTGCATTCCCCGGTTGGCTGGGCAGAGGCGAGCCATCTCACCTCCTCCTGTCTCCACATTTATAAAATGCGGCCAGTTCTTCCTGTTTTCCCTGTAAGAGCTGTCATGAGATTCACATAAAGATGATGAAATGCACAACAAACTTGAGGTTCAGTGCAAATGTGTACTACCATCGTAAATTAAATCCTCCACTTACTCTGATTCCAAAAAATGCTTCACGACAGACACTAACCAGGAAAAGGCTGTAAGGAAGACTTCCCACTAAGGAGGAAAATGAAGCTTTGCGGGTTTTTTTTAATCCCTAGAGACATGTTTTTGAAAATTCCTGAAGCATCCTCTCCTTGCTTTGACAAGCGTGGCTGTTCTGAACATGTGATCATCTTAGAAATGCTATGTGATAGGCAGAGTGCCCAGGAAGCCGGGAGGCTCTGAGCCCAGCCCTGGCAGACTCGCAGAGGCGTGGCCTTGGCACCCTCTTTAGGGCACCGGAACCCATGCAGGGTATTGCATCATCCCCACCCATTCCCTATGAGCCATCGGCACTGGGCTCTTTAGGGAAGCCTCTATCCAAGTGGCAGGGGCTGGTATCAAATAGGTCCATGTATCTTACAAAACCTGCTTTTCTTGATGACAATTCTTGACAGCTCAGGACACTTCCCTAATAGAGAACATTGTTTCATTGCGGTAGTTCCGAAACCTTAGAATCCTACTGCCAACAACTGGCACTGAACACATGCAGAAGAAATGTTTTCCGACCGACTGCCACAAGTCACTTGCAATTGCAATAGCTGCAGCACCTGGCCTAAGGTTTTAAAGAATTTTTATCCTCAATTTCTTCTTTGATGTTGCAGATTTGGTATACAGAGAAAACCTGCCGGTGTCACTAAATGTACCTCCTGGTTAATTGAAAAGCCCTATTCCGCAGACAGAAGCAGCTGCTATAAATAGGCGAGAGAGAAGGCGGCACACACATCCTGATGTCCTTGAGTATTTCAGAGGTCTCGGCTAGCACCATGCTGACGGGATGAGTGCACCAGCTTCGGCAGTCAGGCTTGTCATCATCCAAACGGAAACGTTTGTGCAAATTTACTCGACTCCATCTGCTCTGTTCACCAACTACAGAGATGGCCTACAACAAAGGTTCACACACAGACAAAAATGACAGATTCACTGGCCCGACTCCATCGTGTTGCAGAGCCCCTTAGGGGTTAAGTGAAGTGCCCAAGGTCAGCAAACACTGATTGCATCAGCCCACACTGTTTACCTCCATTACCAAATCTAAGAGACCCTGTGCCCTTACCTGGCTTCTCTCTGTGGCTTTTCTTTTTTTTTTTTAAAGAGACAGTCTTGTCCTGTTGCCCAGGCTGGAGTACAGTGGTACAATCATAGTTCACTGCAGTCTAAAACTCCTGGGCTAAAGTTATCCTCCCACCTCAGCCTCCCAAGTGGCTAGGACTATAGGCACACACCACTGTGCCCAACTAGCTTTTAAAACTTTTTCTAGAGATGGGGCCTATGTTGCCCAGGCTAGTCTAGAACACGTGGCCTGAAGCAATCCTCCTGCCTCAGCCTCCCAAAGCGCTGGGACTCCAGGTGCGAGCCCCCACGCCCAGGCTCCTGTGGCTTCTGGTAACCGCCTCTTCCCTGAAGCACTTGCTCCCAGTTCTCCCCACGGCCTGTCCTTCCCCAGCGACAGGCCTTCCCCAGGATTTCTCTACACTTCTTCTTACCCTCGCTCCCCAAATCTCCTTTATCAATAAATCCAGACCCGCAGAGGAAATCATCTGCATAATCTCTCCCTTTATTTCACACATAACCTGATGATTTAGATGTTCCTGAGGCACCTGGAAATAGAAATGCTCAAAAATAATTATGACCTTACCTTTCCAATCATCCTTCCCCTCCCTGTATTCCCCGCGTCAGCAAGTGTAGTCAGTGGCTAAGCAAAACCCTGGGAATAAACCTGAATCTTTCCCTCTTCCTCCCCACAGTCAGCCAGTCACCAAATACTGTCATCCTTACCTTCCAAGAACTCAGCTTGCAGCGGTGCCCTTCCCCCATGCTTTCTACCCCAAAGGTTAAATCTGATGACCCTAAGTGGCCCTGTTAGTTCGGGCACCTCCAATCCATCCTCAACTCTCCTGCAAAGGTGATCTCTCAAGCACTCCACAGCTTACACTCCTCCTGAGACCTTCCCTCATCCAGAGGAGAGCCTAAGGCCTTGCCATCTGTCCTCACCTCAGCTACGTCCAATCCTGCACTTCTCAAGAAATGGCCTGGCATTCCCCCAGCAGGCCCAGGGGCCTTTTGCCTTTGCCCTGGTTGCTCCCTCTTCCTGGAATGTCCCTCCCTTTTATATAGAGGCACTTTACTCTTCTTTCAAAACTCAGCTCAAGGGTCACTCCGCTAGTGAGCTTTCCCATCCCTGAGCGCTCACTGAGCTTTTCCCAGAGCCCCATTCCCCTCTCCAGTTCTCAGGTGCATTCTGGCATCTGTCCCCATCACAGGACTGCGAGGTCGTTGGGATTTGGGAGCGGATGACTCCACTCTGTATCATGCTTAGCGCAGAGCCTGTGGAACATATCACTGAATGTTTCTCCACCTCCTATGGCACCTGTGGTCAATATTATGAGTTTCACGCCATTTGGGATTTGCTGAGGTACTGCTCTGTATTGTTCACCATGCTATGTGGTCTTTATACAAGAATTATGTATCGAACATATAGTAAGTCCCAAGGATGGCACTAGGGCACCAGGTTACAAAAATGAATCCTACCCAACTAGAAGCTGATGGCCTAGTGTGTGCGCGGTGGAGGGGTGGGGAAGGAATCCATCGATGAAACTGCAATGCACACACTCCCTGCAGGGGTTCTGGTCCCCAACCACTGTGAAACAGGGCTGGGCAGTAGGATGAGTGAGGTGGTTATATTCTTTGACGCTAATTGTGTCCTGGGTTGACATCAGCATTTGCAGAACCACTTTATGGACAGGCCTTTGTGACTTAATGTCAGCTGAGCTCTCTCATCAAGCCCATTTGGTTTATACAGTTAGAAAAATTCAACTTTACACCAATATTATTCAGTCCCTCACCACGTAATGAAACGTACTAGGTATTTCCAAGGGGTCTTCCATGAACTAATGTGATGTACGTAACAGAATGTTTACCTGGCACAATGGAGTATTCTTTTTTTTAACATAGCCTTAACTTTAAGCTGTGTGTGTGTGTGTGTAGTTGTTATTGGCAAGCTAAAATAAACTGCATGTTTCCTTGACTTCTTATTCAGAGTATGTGGAAAATAACTTTTTTCTTGGTTACTTGAAAGCATTATACAAGGCACTAATTCACAAGGAACGGTCACGGGTGAAGGCTGTTCGCCCCTTCTTATATCAAATGTCCCAGAATGCTGCTTTCTACAAAGAATCCCAGGATGTGTGCTTCTTGTGCTTCATCTTTTCCTTACCATTGCTTCTTCCTTTCAGTGTGAGCCTTTCAAATTTACTGCTTCTGATCTGTTGTGGCTATATTAGAAAACTAAGTAAGCTAGCTATTCCCTAAAATAAGAATAGCACTTGGGTGAGAACTGGGAGGCTTTTCCTAGAATTGGGCAAAATGATTAATTCCCAGACACTGTATAATTCCAGGGCAGCCCTTATTGGCTCTTGCCCCAGCTTCCTAAGTAAAATAGACTAGTGCCCCCTACCTGCCTTGCCAGGAAAGACAGAGACTCATAAAATGTCAAAGAACATGTGCTTCTCAAAACCAGAATGACTTTGAAAGATGTATTACTTTCTGAACACTAGCAAAAATTCCTTCAAGTAAGAGGATATTATTTGCTCTGTAATTAGACATCCAATAGTCTGTGTGGATTATCAGGGAGCTGTGGCTGCACAGTATACAGAGAGATGAACCAGTGGGAGTATCACATCCACTAGACTGACATGTCCCCAGGGCTGTACTCATACACACTCGATATGAAAATACCAGATCACTGTGTATCTCGAGAGGGAAGGTTTGCCAATATAACAGCTTCTCCTCAAAATTTGAATTTGTGTTAAAAGACAAAATCTTTTGGTCACCCAATTTTTCCTATATAATAAAACTTATGCAAAAAAGCTCTCCATTTTTTTTTAACAGAATGTAACTGTTTTATTATAGTCTTTTTTTTTCTTTTTTTTTGGAGATGAAGTATAACTCTTGTTGCCCAGGCTCGAGTGCAATGGCGTGATCTTGGCTCACCGCAACTTCCGCCTCCTGGGTTCAAGCGATTATCCAGCCTCAGCCTCCTGAGTAGCTGGGATTACAGGCACCTACACCATGCCTAGCTAATTTTTTTTTTGTATTTTCAGTAGAAATGGAGTTTCACCATGCTGGCCAGGCTGGTCTCACACTCTTGACCTCAGGTGATCCACCCATCTCAGCCTCCCAAAGTGCTGGGATTACAGGCATGAGCTACCATGCCCAGCCTTATGATAGCATTTTATTAAAACACTTTGAAATTATAGCTCACTAAAGTTTGATATTAACAATATCTCACTAGGATACATTTTCAAAAAATATAGTTTGGAATTAGCAAATAGGATTTTTCTGGCTATAAAAGGAGAAAAAAAATATTTATAATCCTCCAATTTCTTCCAGCGAAGGAAAATGAACAATTAATGCCTCATCCCATTTCTAACTTGAATCATCCCTTCCTTCCCTGCAATGAAACTGAGGTGAATTTCTTTTTTGCTAGATGAAGAACTGTTTTCTATTTATTTATTTAATTAATTTTTGAGATGGAGTCTTGCTCTGTCGCCCAGGCTGGAGTGCCGTAGAGCGACCTTGGCTCTCCGCAACCTCCACCTCCTGGGCTCAAGCAATTCTCCTGGCTCAGCCTCCTGAGTAACTGGGATTACAGGTGCCCACCACCACACCCGGCTAATTTTTGTATTTTTAGTAAAGCTGGGATTTCATCATGTTTGCCAGGCTGGTCTCAAACTCCTGACCTCATGTGATCCACCCAACTCGGTCTCCCAAAGTGCTGGGATTATAGGCATGAGCCACGGCGCCAGGCGTACATGAACTATTGAAGAAGGCTAGAGCAATGGGTTCCCACAATAGCAAGGCTGCATTTTGAAGGCATTTAATTATTAAAGCTCAAAGATCTGACTCATCATAAAGTGTATTTACGGCCTTGGCAATACATTTTAGCAATCATTCAAAAGAAAACAATTAAACTTCCTAAATGTTCTTCTGGCAAACTCAGCGACTATCAGAGGGAGACAGAAACTTCTGCTAACAGATAAATCTTCCTAACAGGTTTGACACACAGCAGCACTGGTTCCTTATTCTTTCCATTCTGTGATCTAGGAATCTTTTCAGATCTTTGGAATGTAATAATCTGAGTTATAGAAACTATCTGCTGGTTAAAATGAACACACAATACTACAAAACACTGTCATTAAACAGGCAGTTGGGGAAAAGTAAACAATTCTTTCATCACCTTTAATCAAAAGGTTTAACAAGTTTTATGATTACCACTTAATTCTTAATATCACTTTATGGGAGCTATGATTCAGGCCCATGTCTTTGTTATTAAATAAGACTCACAACAGAATGAAGTCCAGCAGATGTATGACCTAAGTCCAGCAGCTGAGGAGGTTGGTACTCAATTTGAGAAAGCAGCATGGGCCCAAAAGGAGCACAGCTTTCAGAGACAGCAGGCTATGGCTTAGATTTTTTTGACTCAGTTTTTGGTTTTCTGTTGGCTTTTTTGAGACAGAGTCTCACTCTGTCACCCAGGCTGGAGTGTGCAGTGCAGTGGCGCGATCTCAGCTCACTGCAACTTCCACCTGCTGGGTTGCAGCAGTTCTCCTGCCTCAGCTTCCCAAGTAGCTGGGACTACAGGAGACAGGCACCCACATCATGCCTGGCTAATTTTTTGTATTTTTAGTAGAGACAAAGTTTCGCCATGTTGGCCAGGCTGGTCTTGAACTCCAGGCCTCAGGTGATCTGCCAACCTCGGCCTTCCAAAGTGCTGGGATTACAGGCATGAGCTACCATGTCCCGCTATTAGATCTGAGAAGTTTTTGTCATTTTAATTTTACAAAGCACAAAAATCACCTGTGTATCTACTATATAGCTGATTTGCTGCAGGACTTGTTGGTGATGCTACGAATCAGCAGGAAAATAGACACTGCATGTGAAAGCAACAAAACTTAGACACACAAGTGCTAATGTGGCTCAACAACATATTATATTAGAAAAAACAATTTGGAGACCAAAATGTCTGAGAACAGTTATGCTAGGGTTAACGAAAGGTTCTAATAAATTTATGTATATACACAAAAGTTTAACAAAAAAGTACAATCTATGCAAGATAACATTTAGGGGTAAATATTTAGGAGCAGAGAAAGTACACACAGATTCCTTACAACCCTGCGGCCTTTCTGTGAAGAAATTCATCTGGGCTTTTCATCAATGCTACCTGCCTCCCACAGTCTATCCTAGACTGAACTAACCCAATCTACAGCACGCCCTTTCTTTTCAGTGACCCAGGGACTCAGGGCAGGCAAAGGGAGCAGGGCCTGTGTGACACAGAGGAGGCTGGCCTGCCTTCCTGTCTCCAGGCTGTCTCTAAGATGTGGGCAGCAGTGATGAGTAAAGCCGAGGCCACTCCTATAGCCAAAGTATTAATAAACCAGCGGCCTTGTCATAAAGAGGTAATCAAAATCCAACAAGCACATCTGTCTCTGCATTAGGGACTAGAAAAACTCTGAGGGCTGGATTTTGCTTCTTACACATTACATTATGTTTGGTGTTGTCAGGGAATCCAATTAATTCCAGGATTGCAGTTATGCTCTAAAACTACTAGATGATAGCTAAGGGCACCACAGAGAAAGCTTTCAGGTTCCAGCTCAGGTCAGCAGAGCTCTGGGTCCCAAATGCTATTTTAGCTTAGGAATGTGTGGTGGATCAGCCCCTTGCACAATTTCAGCAACCGCTCTGCCCTTACTATGACATTTGCAGAATGTTTTGGCCAGCTCAGACAGACACTTTTGTATCGTGTTCTCATGCAAACACACACTCTCATTTTCTAGGAACAGGCCATTGTTGAACAAACAAGAACACAGCACTGAGTATAAAAGAAACAGGGCCGGTGCGGTGGCTCACACCTGTAATCCGAGTACTTTGGGAGGGCAAGGCAGGAGGACTATTTGAGACCAGGAGTTTGAGACCAGTCTGGGCAACCTACTGAGACCTCATCTCTGTACAAAGTAATTTTTTAAAAATGTAAAGGAACAGAAACACTGAAGTGTGCAGTGCTCAGATAAAGCATCACCTTCAGTTCAATAATCTAAACTCTAGTTCTTCATTTGGGGCTGATAAAGGGAAGAAGCTATCTTAGATTTACACTATTAATCCAATGGTGAATCTGTTTTTGGATAAGTGGATAGAAAACAGGAGTTTTACCAAATATAGTGAAGCCTTATCTAAAAATAAACACATGGGTAGAAAAATATATTTAGGATGCCTTAGTCAGCATGTTAATCCATCCTGTTACTCAAATCCCAGGATTCTCAGAAATTTCTGTACTTCCCACCCTCACCTCTTCATTAACGTCCACAGGGTGCAAAGCCATCGCAAACTAATACAAGCCATTTACTCAAAACATCCAAAGTGTTCGGCCATAGATGCAGACTGATGACATCTGTTTATTTAAGAAGTATATTTTGTCATGTTTTCATCATAGGATGAAAGAGGAATCTCAAAACCAAAATGCTAAATTATATGCAAAGTCTGCTACTTTGGACGAAATACTTTGAATACTGTTTTGTTTCTTAAGATCACTGATGTTTGGCACTAAATATTTCGCTGTATTTTGGGTTGTTTTATTACACATTTAAATTTAGATGTACTGTTTCCATTTCTTTGGTTCAGATACACGATCTGTTTCCTGCCCTTGGTCATGCTATCAAAACAGCTCCTTGAAAGAGCACCCACATGCTTTTCTATATCCTCAGCATTTCACACACTGTATGTTCTTACCATATTCTACAAAAACATGGCAACTTCACTATGATTTAGCAAAACACAGGCTTTGTACTCTTCCTTTTCAACAATCACTTTTATTAATCTTTAATGGCAGCTGCATTCTCAATGTAACACAATGTTCAACAACTGAAAAAGAAAACTGTGTTTCTGAAGCCAATATTATACATTAGGTAAGAATAAGATACTCCTCATTACTGCTCTCAGAATGTTAAGTTTGTCAATTCTTCTCCTGCTGGCAACCAATACAAAAGCAGAATTAGACAGTTTAGAGTGGGAAATGAGAAGGATGTCGGAATCAAAACAGACACAGAGAAGGCCATAAAGAGTCTGCAAGCATAAATGCCTGATAACAAAAACTATCACAAAAGATTGCAAAACCATGATGCTGCACAAAGGCCATCTCAATCTTACACAAAAAATACTTCTGCAATGCCTGCCAAGCAACTGCCTCTCCAACCTGGGACTGGTGTCACCTTTCTTACTGATCCTTGTAATCAAAAATCATTATCTCAAAACAATTATGTAACCCTCCTTTTTCCTTTAAAGACCTTTGTCTTCCTCCATCTCCCAGGATACACCCGGTTAACTATGACATCTATTTTCCCATTATAAGGCTCCATTCCTGAATAAATGCCATTTTCTTTTAGGGAGCCTCTCTCTGCTCGTTAAGTTGACAGCAATAAATAGTTTAGGTTTTGGGGAACAAATCACGAATATTTACTTAAAAACAAACAAAAAACTTATAACAGGCATGAATGAAAGGTTATTTTGGAAAGAATTTAATATATTCTCTATTGTTAAGTGCACCAGATGCTGAACTTCTGAAACAACAATTACGCTTCGGCATAATAGCATTTTCTACATATTTCTGTTCATGTTGCTTGTTCCTCTGATTTACCTCGAATCAATGAATCTGAAAAGCAAAAAGATTCTTTAAGCACCCGGTAAATTTCAGGTCCCACATTAGAAAACGAGCAAGCATCAGTAATATTGATGGGGGTGAAAATATAACATTGAGACTTCTGGGTAATGTCCCAAGTTTACTTTCATAGTTTACTAGGCTAAAGTTTCATGCTGAATGAATATCTGAAAGACTCAGTCACTGACATGTGCTGATTTTCTGATTTTAAATTTGAACACTCCCAAAGCATAAACAAATCACCTCCAGCAACATTGTAAAAAAATACTCAAAGTTTAAAAACAAAAGAAACTTGTAGCAGTACTTAGTGTCCAACAGAAAGCACTCCATCTGCTAAACAATATCTCGACTGCAAAGCTTCTCTTACTGTTGGTGGATAGATAATGACATGGTCCCGTCATTACCACCGTGGCAACAGTGACTAGGAACTATCAGAGGAAAATTGCACATGGAACAGCTGGTTCTCGAGCAGGCATGCCTCAGCTTCCTCTGGAGTATGCTTTTTCTGCAAGTCTGGTGTGCTCTAGGGTACTACCAACCCTGCGCCGCTCCAAGACTACAGATTATGTGGCAATTCCACTGAGCCCTGCTCTTCCGGATTTATTCTTCCCACCAACGGGAGCACCTACCACATTCTAAGCACCGTCCTAGTCACTGAGGATACAGCCGTGAATAAAGTTGAGTGCCTGGTAGGGAAGTCAACAAACAAGCTAGTAAATACTGTCTGTGTCAAGCAATGGTAAGTACAAGGGAGAACAGAGCAAGCAATGGGCCTACGGAGGCTTTCTTTTTCTCCTCGGCGCTCCCGCACTGCTTTGTATTTGCTTCTCATTTCTCCCGCTGGCTCCAAGCTGTAGGCACCAGGGCTCTCTGGACATTCCGCGCTGGCACCGCGCCTAGCACCCAGCCACTGCTCAGGAAACGTTTGTGGAACGAACGAATTCACTTCTTAGTTCCCACCGAACAAAGCTTTCCCGAGTCTAGGCCCAACAGCTTAAAAGGGCTGGAGGAAATCAGCTGGGCATGGTGGCGCATGCCTGTAATCCCAGCTACTCAGGAGGCTGAGGCAGGAGAACTGCCTGAACCCAGGAGGCGGAGGTTGCGGTGAGCCGAGATCGCGCCATTGCATTCCAGCCCGGGCAACAAGAGCGAAACTCCGTCTCAAAAAAAAAAAAAAAAAAAAAAAAAGGCTGGAGGGCCAACGAGGCCAGAAACTCAGAGGCTGCCGGGCGCGGTGGCTCACGACTGTAATCCCAGCACTTCAAGAGGCCGAGGCAGGAGGATTCCTTGAAGCCCCAGGAGTTCGAGACCAGCCTGGCCAACAAAGTGAGACACCGCCCCCGCCTCCACTTCCGTCTCTACAAAAAGAAAGGAAGAAAACAGCCAGAGAAAAACACACAGACAAGAGCGCTTTAAAACTTTAAAAAACTAAAATTCTTCGAGAGGAAATAATCGCGCGCCAGAGGCGGGAGCCCCAAAGCCTCAGCTCCCACGTGACGGTAAAGCCGAAGAAGAGTCCAGGAGCGGAAGCTAAGGCCCAAGCGCTGAGACCCCGGGCAGGCTCCTGCTCCCCGCCGCGAAGAACCGCATTCGGCCGCGGCGCTCCCCGGAGACGCTCACCTAAGCTGGGAGAGGCGGATACCGGCCCGGCCTAGCCTCGCTACCTCCCGAGAGACCGGCACCAAACGCGAGCCAACCGCGTTACCATGGCAATTCCACCGCCGCTAACACCGGAACCGGAAACTTCATCTGGAGGTGACCCTTTCCCGGCGTTCCGTGGAATAGGCGAGCCCTGCGCCTCTCCCAGGGGTCTACGAGTATCCCAGCTGGCCCCATTGGCTCATGGGAGGAAAGTCGTCTTCCCTCTTATTTTGCCTCTCGTTGCCCGGCAAGCGTGACCCTGATGGACATCCACTCTGTCCAATAAACTAACAAAGCGGTTGCCTACTGCCAATAGTAATGCAATAGGATGCGTCTCTGGCATAAGGCCCACCTCCCAGCTGCCAGGCGGGACGAGCAACGTGATTGGTGGAATCGAGTATTGCCGGTCAGTGTTGTCCAATCACGGAGGGCAGTTTAGAGCAGGCCCAATGAGGGCCACCGGGGGACGGGCCGGACTGCCGCAGGCCGGGGAGGGCTCCGGGTGGTCAGCTTAGGGCCCGGGCCATCGTGGGCGCCGGCGAGCGTGCGGGGATGAGCGGGTCCCTCCGCCGAGCGGCGGCAGCTCTGCTCCGCTGGGGGCGCGGCGTGGGCGGCGGCGGCCTTTGGGGTCCGGGCGTGCGGGCGGCTGGCTCGGGCGCGGGCGGCGGCGGCTCGGCAGAGCAGCTGGACGCGCTGGTGAAGAAGGACAAGGTGGTGGTCTTCCTCAAGGGGACGCCGGAGCAGCCCCAGTGCGGCTTCAGCAACGCCGTGGTGCAGATCCTGCGGCTGCACGGCGTCCGCGACTACGCGGCCTACAACGTGCTGGACGACCCGGAGCTCCGACAAGGTCAGGCCCGCGTGCTGAGCAGGCGCCCTCCGCCCCGGGCCCAGGAGCATCGCTGCACGAGGCCGAGGGGTTCTGCCACGCCGGGCTGGGGAGCGAGGCTCCATCGGCCGGGGTCTGTCCGGAGGTTCGAGCTGGGTTAGGGCCGGGAGCACTCTCCTGGAGTAGAGTCTGGGCTGAGGGTGTGGTTGATTTGACTGGGTCTTGAGGATCTGGGGCTCTGATACTGTTGCCAACTTGAGCAGTAGGTAAAGTCCTAAGGGTTCACTTATCCTCACTTCGAGCTAAAATAGGCGTTTCGGGGCGACTTGTCAATGGCTGCCTCCGAGGAGGGTGGCCCACAGCCTGACTCTGCCCTCCACGGTTGGGGAACGCAAAGTAAGGACCCACTGTAAGGCACTTTCGGGGACAGTTTGGGGAGGTTGGAAGCCATTGGCCTGCTCATGGGTAAGGGTCTGGGGCTGTCGATGGTGAGGAGAGGGCTGAGGTTGCTATTGAGGCTAGTGAGGTCGGAGGCCGGCCTCTCTTGGCTCGTGGCTCGGGGTGTCAAGCACTATTCTCTGTGGTTGCCACAAGCAAAGGGTTGGGACTGCTGTCGGCTGGCCTTAGGATCTGTGTTGGGGGTGGAAAGTCATGACATTTGGCTTTAGATACTCAAGCACAGGGCTGAGTGTGTGTGGGCCAGGGCTTGGAGAGGTTTGTGGGGAAAAGCAGCAGCTGTGGCTCTTGAGCCCGGGCTAACTCAGGGTTCTCAGCCTTGCAGCCCAGGGGGCCAGTGGGCCAGAGGCCAGAGGGGTCAGGCCTGGAGGAGAGGCTGCAGGTAATTAGCATCTTTTCCAAGTACCTCACATGGGTTTGCTCATCTGGTTGGGGAGGAGGAAGAGGCCAGGCACAAGGGTCTGGTCCTTGGCCAGGATGGTCAGGATTGGTGGAGAAATGAGAAGGCCATACCTGTTCCTTCTAGAGAGTGACTAAGGGTACCTGCATCCCAGTCAGAGACTTTCAGTGACTGAGTCCCTGCATGTCCCTAGCTAAAAAGAGGTGTCAGGTGTGTGCTAAAAATAGTGCCAGGTTCTCTGTTATTCTCAATTTGAAGTTACTAATCATGGCCATTCCTTACATTCATGAGAGGAATGGCCATGATTAGTAATTTCAAATTTAGAATAACAGAGAACCGAAAAGCTTTGTGTTGAAATCCTCTTTGTGGCTAGTCAGGTTTATAACTTAGACGAGTCACTTAACTGCGTTTTCCTTCAGTAAAATGAGGATAATGAGACAACGAGGCAAAGTTTTTGTGAGCAAGACAGGAAGTAAAAATTATAGAAAGTGTGTATCATCTTATCTGGCACGGAAAGCACCCAGTAAATGGTAACCGTCTTAATATTAGGACTTTATACTTTTCAAATGTATTTTTTCCCAGATTATCTAATCCTTAGAAACTCTTGGTGCTGGCTGATCCTCCATTTGCTGTAGGTGATGGTGGTGGTGGGCGGGCCCAGGAGGCATGTTGAGGAGTGCAGAGAGCAGGTTGAAATGGCCAGGCATATTCCCATGACCCTTTTGTCTTGCTGGTCAACTAGAATGCCACCAGTCACTGACTCAGTTTTATCACGTACAAGGCAAGGGACCTGCAGTCTTCCTTCAAAGACAGCTTCTCTGCTTAAAAGAGGAGTACCTGTTTGGCAGTCTTTTAACAGAGACCTTGCAGGGGGTCCCCTGCAAATTGCCCATATGGCATTAGTAAAAAGTTGCGTTGTTATCTTGCCTAGTATAATGTTTTGAGGGTCTTTGGTTTGTGAATTTATTTTCCCTTGTTTACTGTAACTGGAAATGGGATATGCTGGAATATAGCTAATAAACTGATAAGAGCAAAAATAAGAATGTGTACTGATAACATTTTATTTTTCTGTCTTCCATCCAAGTCTGGTGTCTGGTTTCTGAGCTTACATTCTTAAGTGTTCAGACAGCAGCAACAGGAATTTAACCCTTACATTTCTTGACCATTGAGTTTGATCAGATTGCTATTTTGGTTAATAAATATGTTGCATATATATATTGAATATAGCATACACCTCTTTTATTGATTAGAAAAGTAAAGACTAGTGTAAGTACTAACATTTGGACCGGGGCAGGGGGTTAAAAGCAGGTTCTCAAAATGGGGATTAGTTCAGCCAGGGTGTTAAGACTCTTTCTCTCTTCCCTCTACCCTTTTATTTACCAAAAGCAACTAACGGGCTGTCTGATGCTTGCTTTTGCCAGCCAAAGCTATATCTGTGCACCAGATCCAAGGTCATTTCTAGTAATAGGAATGAGGCTCTTGCAAAACTGGCCTTTTGTCAGTTTTTATGCCAAGGAGACCTGAACTTTACAAAGGGCCCAAGCTGGAGGAAAACATTCTTTCCTAGTTTTGGTAACTGGGTTCCCAGGAGTGTGATACAGATAGATCTTGAGACTGTGACCCAAGGAACAAAGGTGACTGTGAGGCAGCACCATGTTCTGGCTTTCTCAAGACCTTCTTGTCCTTTTCTTTTTATCTGGAATGCACACAGAAGACAGTCACAAAGGGATGAGGTCCCAGCCGACTGACATCATCGTTTCCTAATCCTGGTCTTAATAAAGGAACATACACTCATGGAAGCAACTTAACAAAACGCTGAAAAGTTTAAAGAATGAAAATCACCTGTAATTTCATGGAAACCACTGTATTAACATTTGGATTTAGTTCTTAACAGTTTTTTTTTTTTTAAACACACTGAGATCATGCTTGTCTATACATAGTATCTTGCCCTCCAGAGACCAGGGAACATGTCTTATACAACTGCCCGTGGCACTGTGTGTACTGCTTATGCAAAGCAAGCTTTCAGTGAGCATTTTAATAAATAAATGCTGCTTTTATTTATCATTATATTGCAAACTCTGTGGCCTTAAAGACTTTATAAATATCTGTAAATTGCTACCGACTTAGATCATCATTGTAGTCCTTGCATCTGGAAGAGTGACACAATAGGGACTCAAATATTTGTTAAATAAATAACCATATCCTATTGTTGAATGCTTATTAAGCATTTGAAAATATTCCCAACTTTTTCAGTATCAGGCAATTTAAGACAGTAGTGAAATACGTGTCATGCTGGTAAACCTATAAGTCAGGTAACAGGTTGTGTGTATGTGCTTGTGTGGTGGACATGTGGTATGCTGCAGTTGAGGGTATAAAATGGTACCAAGGAGGAGTAACTGTCAGTAGTGCCCAGTCAAGCTCCTGGTGAACAGAGCCTAAGGCCCAGCTGCGTGACTCCTAGGTATATATTCTAGAGCAGGCATCTGCAAACCTACTCTAGTAAAGAGCCAGAGAGTAAGTACCTCAGGCTTTGTGGGCTGTGTGGTATTTATCACATCTATTCAACTAACTCTGCTGTTATATAGCCTGAAGTCAGACATGAGCAATACGTAGATGAATGAGCAGGCTGAGTTCCAACAAAACTTTATTTATGAAAACAGGAAGTAGACTGGATTTGGCCTGAAAAACATAGTTTATCCACCCCTGGCCTAGAGACTGAGTTCTGCATATGTGTGTTAGGACTTCAGTCCCCAACCCCCAGGCCAAGGAACCAGGCCATACAGCAGGAGGTAAGCGGTGGGCAAGTGGCTTAACCACCTGAGCGCCGCCTCCTGTTGGATCAGCGGTGGCATTAGATTCACATAGGAGCACAAACCCTGTGGTGAACTGCACGTGCGAGGGGTCTAGGTATGAGAATGTAACTAATGTCTGCTGATCGGAGGTGGAACAGTTTCATCCTGAAACCGTCCCCACCCTTCCCTGGTCTATGGAAAAATTGTCTTCCACAAAACCAGTCCCTGGTGCCAAACAAGGTTGGGGACCTCTGCGTTAGGATACCTGTGTCAGGGTGCCCTTTGCAGCGTGGCTTGCAGTAGTGAAAAACTGACAGAAAGGAATCTTGGTCTGTTAGTAGTAGACCGGATAGACAAACTAGTCATATGGTGGAAAGCTAAATCATAAACTAAACTAGATCTAGATGTATTTAACATGGCTGAATCTCAAAAATACAATATTTAGTCAAAAAGCAAGTTGTAAACATGTAATTATGGCATAATACCATTTGTATAGGAAAATGTTAAAGGTATAAAACCGTCCCATGTATTGCAGATACGCATGCAGTGCACCTGTAGCTCACGGGTAGGAATGACAGATAGATGGCAGCTGCAGGGTAGAGGCTGCCTCTGGTGAGGGACTCAGGTAACATGTGGTTCAGAGCCTGGGCATTTATACTCCTGGAAGCCTGGATATAAATCCTGGTTTCACTGCATGCTGTCACTGTGACTTTAGGTAAGTTACTTAACCCTTCTGAACCTTAGTTTCTTCGTCTGTAAAGTAGGGATAATTGTACCTGCCTTGCCAGATTTTTGTAAAGATTAAATAAGATTATACTAATCCTTAACTCAATAAATGGTTGGTTTGTGTTTTTTTG